GATGGTGGCCAGAGGGTGGCGCCGGTGTCATAATTTTATTGATATTTTTAATTCTTATCAGTTTGTTTGAAAAATCCATCTGCTTTGAGATGAACTGCTAATATTTGTGATAAATAATTGCGTGTGGGTGAACGGTACCTGATCCAGGAAGCGGTACAGCTGCACGGCCCGCTCCAAGTTCTGCCCGGTTCCTTTGACCCGCTGAGAGAAGTCCTGCAGCTGAGCCCAGAATGAGTGAACTTTGACCTCGTAGGCGTGGAGGTCCGGTGAAGAGACGTCCTCCCAGCGCTCTAGACGGGACAGCAGAGCCTCACCTTGTTTACAGCGGTCCTGAACGAAGCACAGCCGGGTCAGAACCAGAACCATCAGAACCAGAACCAGATTTAATCCACTTTATGAGGCTAAGGAGGGAATTTTCCTCCATTATTGTTTTAAAGATCACATTTTGGAAAGAAAAAAAAATGCATTCCAGACAATGAAACTTTTAAATGTTTTCATAAAGAAAATGTTATAAGAGTAACTTTGCTCTTCTCTCTATTTCAATGTAAAAATATAAAATTTATACTTTTTCATATTTTAAATTTTTTCCTCATACATTTTTTTCTATACAGATTTTAGATTTTTAGTTTTCTTTAAGAACGAGATTCTTTTTATGTTGCCTTTTATACATCATATCCTCACATTGACCAATAAACAGCTGTTGTTGAGGTCTGAGCCGACCAATAGAAACGCTTCTTCACTCCTCCCTCCAGAGGAAAGCCCGCCCCCAGAGAGGAAGACATTATGATCTGGATTCTGAAAAGAAAGCGATTCATAAAACTAAATCTGGAACAGAACATAAGAGGAAAAAATTAAAAACACAAATTCTGTAAAAATAAAATAGGAAGCAGAAAAATTAAAGAATTAATTTGAAAAAAGAAAAATTAGAAAAAAGAGCAAAGTTACTCTCAAACCCATTTTTTCAATGTTTTATTTCTGGATTGCATTTTGTTCATATTTCCGTTGTCAGAATGCTTGTTAAAATAATGGACTAAAATTCCCTCCGTACCCCCAGACCCAAACCCAAAGGTTGTTCTGTTTCTACGGCAGCCCAGATGGGACAGAATAACTCAGACATTGAATGTTCAGAACCGAACCCATCTGGACATCACTCAGAACCCGGTGGCTTCCACCGTGCTGCAAACGCTGGGCGGGACATACGTAAGCCGTGGTGACGAACTCCTTGAACTCCTCCTGTTTGCTGTTCAGAAGCTCCAGGGAATCTGCAGGTTCGTTCAGGGCCTTCAGACGGAGCTCACCGACCTCGTCCAGCCACGCCTTCACCTGTCAGCAGGTAAGAACAGGATCAGATCCGGATCCTGCGCTCAGAACTCTGTCAGCTTACGGTTCTCTAAAGGCTGCAGGTCATAGAGGGCAACGGTGTAAAGAACCAGAGAACGTTCTAGTAGCGCTTTGGTTTGGTACTTTTATTTAACTCTGACTGATTTTAGTCACCGACAGTCAGTAGGATGATTTTTATGGCATAAATTGTGCAGTCTTAAAGAAGAAAATGCAAATAGGATGATTGATTACTAATTTCATTTACGAGTCAAACAATGCAGCCACATTCTTAAAATGAAAACGCATTTCTGGAAATGCTTTTTCACTTGAAATATGGTAACAATTTGCTTCCATAGATTTTCACCATCCTGCAGGAAAAGTGGAGAGAAGTGATGTTGAGAAAAAGCTTCATGATGCATTGAACCGTTTGGCCTTATTGCTTCATCGATCCCCACAGTTCATAAAGATTCAGGTCAACATGTCACCACCTACTGGTGAAATGCAGAACTACAGTTACTAATATAATCTGGGATTTTTTTGCAATTCTTCTTCTTGTTTTTTCCCCCATTTTAGTTCCTTTAAAATTGTTAATGATTGGTGTGTATAATAAAATCCGAACCTCTGCCACAATCACAAGCTTTTAAACCCTCATTTAAAGTGTGCAGCTCCACCAGCAGGGGGCGCTGGGGGGCGGAGCAGAGCTGATGCCACACGGCAAAGACTGAGCTCAACCTAAACATTCAATCTGGTTACAATGACAGCGACGGGGAGGAGCTAACCTGATAGAAGGGGGCGGGGCTAACCTGATAGAAAGGGGAGGAGCTAACCTGATAGAAGGGGGCGGGGTTAACCTGATAGAAGGGGGCGGGGTTAACCTGATAGAAAGGGGAGGAGCTAACCTGATAGAAGGGGGCGGGGCTAACCTGATAGAAAGGGGAGGGGCTAACCTGATAGAAGGGGGCGGGGTTAACCTGATAGAAAGGGGAGGGGCTAACCTGATAGAAAGGGGAGGAGCTAACCTGATACAAGGGGGAGGGGCTAACCTGATAGAAGGGGGAGGAGTTTCCTCTAAACAAGGCTTCTCTATGTTTGACTGTGAGGCGTTGCTACCTGAACAGGCTCCTGGACATCAGCGCTCAGTCTCACCTGGTTGAAGCCCGTCTCCAGGTTCCTGAACTCGACGATGAAGCTGAGCTCCTGCGTCTT